GGCGGGGGCGGGGCGGTCGGACCAGGCGACCCAGTCAAATTCTGAGCCGGAGGAGTCAGGGTATTCACGCACCGATAATCTGTAGCGGACCGGGATAGCTAGCTACTCCTTCCTCCAGGAAGCCCCGTTTTCACTAAAACTTCAGATGGCTGGGAGGAAAGATAGAGCTATTGCAAATTAGAGCAGGGTTTGTTTTTTTTTTTAATCTTTGAGATAGGGCCTTGCGCTGTCGCCCAGGCTGGAGTGCAGTGGCGTGATCACTGCAGTCTCGAACTCCTGGGCTCAAGCGATCTTCCCGCCACAGCTTCCCAAGTAGCCGGGACTACAGGCTCGGGCTACCGCGCCCGTCTACAGATCAGGGTTTAAGTCGCGGCCCACCACTATGTGAGCAAGACGTAAGCCCCCTGTCCCACTTCGGCTCCTTATCAGTCAAATGGCAACAATAGTACCTTTCTCATAGGGTCGTTTTGATATGAGTAAATACACCTAAGGCGCCTAGGACAAGACCTGCCACATAGAAATATTTGTTAGCTATTATGAGAATATCTTCTTCACTGGGAGATTGCCAGGACTAAATGTGTTAACATGAAAAGAAACATTTTTCCTGTCTCGACTTTTATTTTATTTATTTTTATTTTTATTTTTTGAGACGGAGTCTCGCCCTGTCGCCCAGTCTGGAGTGCAATGGTGCGATCTCGGCTCATTGCAACCTCCGCCTCCCGGGTTCAAATTATTCCCCTGCCTCAGCCTCCCAAGTAGCTGGGATTACAGGCGCCCACGACCACGCCCTGCCAAGTTTTTGTATCTTTACTGGTAGAGACAGAGTTTCACCATGTTGGCCAGGCTGGTCTCGAACTCCTGACCTTGTGATCCACCCGCCTTGGCCTCCCAAAGTACCAGGATTACAGGCGTGAGCCACCGCGCCCGGCCCTGACTTTTATACAGTGTATATGATTCAAGAGTTTTGCCCATGATCCCACCACCCCTGCACATCAGGGTTGAAACTCTCCTGGGAGTTCGGGGCCCTGACCACAGCCTCTCCTCCTCTAGCCCTCTCTGTCCCCACTTCTCTGGTCTTTGGCTTCATCAGGACTCTCATTTATTCCCAGTCCATTCCTCCTGGGTTCAGCACTTTACCTTTCCTACAGGTAATTAATGATCTCTCTTTTCACTCATGACTCATCAAATATTTGAGTGCCTTTTCTGTGTCAGGTGCTGGGGATACCATGAGGCAGACAAGGCCTCTTGTCTTTTTGGAGCTTGCATTCAATGGGTGGAGACACCAACAACATCATCACATAGCCTGGTAAGATGATAAGGCCAGGCATAGTGACTCATGCCTGTAATCCCAGTGCTTTGGGAGGCTGAGGCAAGAGGATCATTTGACCCTGAAAGTTTGAGGCTTCAGTGAGTTATAATAGCCCCATTGCACTCCAGCCTAGGTGACATTGCAAGACCATGCCTCTAAAAAAGAAAAAAAAAAAAGATGTGAACAGGTAATGATACCACTAGATAGTTTGGTTGGGACGCCCATTCTGAGAAGTGACATTTCAGCTGAATCTTGAAGGATGAGAAAGAACCAGATTATTATTATTATTGTTATTATTGTTATTTTGAGGCAGCGTCTAGCTCTGTTGCCCAGGCTGGAGTACAGTGGCTCCATCTCAGCTCACTGCAGCCTCCACCTCCCGGTTCAAGTGATTCTCCTCCCTCAGCCTCCCAGCGCCTGCTACCACGGCCAGCTAATTTTTGTATTTTTAGCAGACACAGGGTTTCACCATTTTGGCCAGGCTGGTCTCAAACTCCTGAGCTCAAGCGATCCACTCACGTCTGCCTCCCAAAGTGCTGGGATTACAGGCATGAGCCACCACACCTAGCCAGAACCACCTTTTTGAAGAATTACAGAAAGAGTGTATAGGCAAAGGGGACAGCCTGTGCAAAGTCCCTGAGGTGATCAGATATTCCAGGAACTGGCAGAGACCTCCTTGGCTACAGCATAGTGATCAGAGTAAAATGAAATGAGGCTGGAGAGGCAGGTGACAGCTTTATCATGCAGGGCCTAGTTTGCCATAATAATGAATTTGATAAAATAATTTGTAATCACTTTTATGAACCAATCATGGCATGTCATCATCATATGTTCTGGCACAGTCCCTCCCTTGTTGTATTTATTTTTCCCTACTCATTCTTGCCCTTGTCTCCCCTCTCACAGCCCCCACTTTCTCTTAGTTATATGTCCCCCATTTATTTATTTATTTATTTATATTTCTTTTAGAGATGAGGTCTTGCTATGTTGCTCAAGCTGGTCTCAAACTCTGAGGCTCAAGTGATCCTCCCACCTCAGCCTCCCAGAGTGCTGGGATTACAGGCATGAGCCACAGTGCCCGGCCCATTTATTTATTTATTTATTTACTTATTTATTTTTGAGACAGGGTCTTGCTCTGTTGTTCAGGCTGGAGTGTGGTGGCATGATCTCGGCTCACTGCAACCTCCGCCTCTCGGGTTCAAGCAGTTCTCCTGCCTCAGCCTCCCAAGTGGCTGGGATTACAGGCATGCACCACCACGCCCAGCTAATTTTCATATTTTTAGTAGAGATGGGGTTTTGCCATGTTGGCTAGGCTGGTCTTGAACTCCTGACCTCAGGTGATCTGCCTGCCTCGGCCACTTATTTATAACACAAATATTTATTGACCATTGACAGTGTCCCAGGGTTTGTTCTGGTTGTTGGAGATAAGTTAGTGATCAAGATGGACAAGGTTCCAATCTTCATGGAGTAGACATTCTAGTACCATTAAAAAAAAATAAAATTGAGCCTGGCACAGTGGCTCACACCTGTAATCCCAGCACTTTGAGAGGCGGAGGTGGGTGAATCACTTGAGGTCAGAAGCGAGACCAGCCTGGCCAACATAGTGAAACCCCATCTCTACTACAAATACAAAAATTAGTCGGGCCTAGTGGCGCATGCCTGTAATCCCTGCTACTTGGAAGGCTGAAGCAGGAGAATTGCTTGAACCTGGTAAGCGGAGGTTGCAGTGAGCCGAGATCGTGCCATTGCACTTTAGCCTGGGCAGCAGAGTGAGACTCTGTCTCAAAAAAATAAATAAAATAAAATCAGTTAAAGGAACAGAGAGCAATGGGGAAGAGGAGTCGGGGTGAGGAGGAGGGTAAAGAAGTGGCATTTGATGTATGCTTGTAAAATATGTTATATTTTTGTCTATGTTTTAAATTTATATGAATGATATTGTGCTACATATGCCATTTTTTACTCAACAACATTGTTTTCAAGATCTAACCTTGTCAGGCCAGGTGTGGTGGCTCATGCTTGTAATCCCAGCACTTTGGGAGGCCGAGGTGGGCGAATCACTTGAGGTCAGGAATTCGAGACCAGCCTAGCCAACATGGTGAAACCCCGTCTCTGCTAAAAATACAAAAATTAGCTGGGTGTCATGATGCCCACCAGTAATCTCAGCTATTTGGGAGGCTGAGGCAGAAGAATCACTTAACCTAGGAGGCGGGGAGGTTGCAGTGAGCTGAGATTGCACCATTGCACTCCAGCCTGGGCGACAGAGCGAGTCTCCACCTCAAAAAAAAAAAAAAAAAAA